GTGGGACTACTGCTGTTCAGTGTCTATGACTTGATATGTGTATTTCCCTGTGAAACTTACACTCTGAGCTTGTCCCCACATCTACGTATCTGGAAAAAATACTAGTATCTACTGTAAAGTAATTTTGTATATAATATTGATATAAAGAAAGTTGACAGTTGATATTATTGTCCATTTTTCTTACCCATTTCTATTTTCTTTTCTTCCCACTGTATTTCTCATTCTTTAGCATGGTATATATTTGATTATATATTATTATCGTATTCTTTCTTTCACTGAAACATAACTCCAGGACTGCAAATATTGCTTTTCTTTTGTTTAGTCACTTATAATAAACAGTGTCTGGCACTAAAATTCTCTAAAATTATTTACAGAGTGATGAAGGGCCAAGAAGGTTGCTACATACTATTAATGAAAAAAACATACAATATTACTTTTAATCATCACAAGATCTTTTCATGTTAAGTAATATTATATTGATTCTTCCACCTGAGTAGTCAAATAATGTTTCACAATTGGTTATCAATCATGTAAGTTGCTGGAGAAAAAATATTAATTTTATTTGATTCTAAAATGAGAGCGTAAGAAAAATGTTCTCTAAGGTCTTGTATATAATAAGAAAAGGCCTTTGTTTCTATACAATCCTTAAATAAAGATACAATGATAGAAAACTGAGTATGAACTGCTACAAAATAGGATACCCTTTCATAGCCTTGAAATTTCAAATGACTAAAAGTCACAACTACAAAGAATGAGCTCTAGAATACGTATGTGAAGAACAGACCCAAGGGGTGGGGGAGCAGCCAGGCACGCAGGGGCTCTGTCAGCACCAACACACAGCAAGAGCAAAACGCACTCATTCTGAGCATCTACGAATCATGAAAAGGGAGAGTCTGATTTGTCCCTGAAGCAGTCATTAAACTGTTTCCAAATAAAATTTTATGAAAGCATATCAGGAAGTCAAACAAATCCAGTCAACACAACACATTCAGACCCATATATCACTGTAATCTTTGTTGTAAGTACTTGAATCTGTCCACTCTGTTGTTGATGTAGTCCCAAGCTGTCCTTCCTGACAATTTCAGTGACTCCCAACCCTTCAGCAGTGTTATGTGGTCAGTGTTTGTCCTTGCTGTATTGTTCGAGGGGCAAGACACTGAAGCACAACTCTCAGAACAACTCCTGACTGTGTCAGACAAACACATACAGCTCTGTGAATGTGGCCCTTCCAAAATTTGCTTTCTCCTACAACTAGGGAAACCCTGTTAGAAAAAGCAAGACTGAGAGCACATGCTGCTTCATCTACAAACAGCATGTCAGGATTTACCACGGAGAATGTTACATCAGGGAAAATGAACCAAGTCACATAAACGGTCTACTTGGAAAAAATGAGATCATAAAATCATCAACACATTTTTTAGTGATATTTGTCACATTGATTACTTAAGATCATCTGACATCATAATAAAAATAAGAATAGATGATTTACAAGTACTGCTTATAAATTATGTCTATATAACCCTGAATTTCTAATACTAAAAAATAAAAACACACATAAAAGCAATGATACAGGTAGACAGCAATATCCTTGTGACTCCAAAATTATAATCTAGAAGCGATCATAATGTCCCGTTCTTACTTTATATCTTTTTAAAATAGTTTTGACTTTAAATAAAAATATCACTGTTGTTAAAGCAGACTTTAAATATACAGAATGTCAGAAAACCTGAAGCAATTTCGTCAAAAAAGAGCACACATTTTCAATGCTTATGGCACAATATTTTTTAAGACTCGGAAAATGTTTCAATATTTTCTACCTAAAATAATATTAATTCATCAAAATGGCTAATATTCATACGCCTATGATATGCAATTTAAAGCATTTACTTAAAGGAAAGAATTTGCTAAACCTTGAAGTAGAAAGCTAAGTGAAACCGAATGTGCATGTTGACCAAGGCTCACTGGTATTGCTCTGTAGCACCGATCAATAGATATTAGCTTGAAAAAGAAAGATAAAGCAAGAAGCTGCAGCATATTTTTTAAATGACAGACTGAAGGTTTAAATTGTCCCAATCAAGACCCAATTTTTTCCTCCCAGTTTTTCCAGCTGTTCTCTTCCAGTGAGGACTCTCCGTTTCAAACAAATTTAATTAGTTCCAATTGATCAGAACTCACACTCGCACAGCTTTATCCACGCTTCTTTACTTTCATAAGGCACGCGCTAACAAAGACTGCGAGGTGCAGATTCAGACGTCAAGACCACATTCCTAATGCCTCGTTCATCCTCACTCTAATGAAACGAACTGTAGATGACTGCTTCACCTTCCACACAATCATCAAATGACACCTGACATTTTCATTGTTGTCTGGTGGGCCTGTTTCTTAGAATGAAGTCCTCGGTTATGCCAAGCATAAACTAACACAACTACGTACATAGGTGCCTATTTGTATGTCCCAAACCGGAAATCCTTCAAAACAAAGGCAAGCACCTGACACGACACAATTCAGTTATTTCATTAAGGGATATTACCACCATGATTTCTTTTAAATACATGAACAATTTAAAGCAGATTGTTTCAAAGGGAGTGGCTAAGCTGGCAAGCTTTCCTTCTGTAGAACTGCAGCTCTACAACACTGGTTTCCTCAACATAAGATTGTCATGCTTGAAACTGGTTGCTAGCAAAACATCTCCCATGGTTTTCAGAATGCAATTTATATAGGATCCTAGTCAATAGCAAGAAGTATGGTTTTCTTCTCAACTTTCACAAAAATCTATACCACAGCTTCATCAACTCACACCATCTATAGGCAGGCTGTAAGAGCTGCACACTACAGCATGCCAGTTGCTTTGACAACATGTAAAGGAAGCCTTTTTTAGTTATTCAAATTCTTTGGATAGTGAACATTCTTGCCTCTAGTACATTCGTGCCATGAAAGGAACAAAGCAATTAATGAAACCATTCATCACCTATGTTTAACCAAACTATTATAGATTAAAATATAGTACACACAGCATTAATTGACTCTATAACCTAGACTTGCAAGCTTAAGCTTCTTGATTCTTGTTATCGATAAAACATAATGTCAGTTGTGGGTTCTAATGCCATCTCATGAGTGTGATATTTCATAATTCGACTTTCATGAGTTCCAGGATTCTTGCTTTGACTTGGCCTGGATGCTGGCTGTGGCAGCCATGAATGAATCCGTGGATGGAAGCTATCTCCATCTCTCTCATTCCCTCTCTGTCCATGTCTCCCCCTTTCATTTTCTGCCTTTCAAAGGAAATAAAAATTAATAATTTTTTACATCGATGAACTAATAAGAAGACATAATAGTCACCATCATCACAACACCTTTACTCAAAACAAAATGCTCCCCAAGTTAGTCAGTGCTTGCTTTAATGGACAACGTCAGAGGTGTGCTGTTTTTGGCTTTGTTTTTTTCTATTTTTAAAATTTATTTTAGAAGACAAAACAATAGAAAGGGATGGACAGATTTTCCTACTTGCTGAATCATTCCCCAAATGTCGACAACAGCCAGGGCTGGGTTAGACCAGAACTTCATCTGGAATTCCCACAGGAGAGGCAGGGATTCAAGCGCTTGAAGGTCAGCTGGTGTCCCGCTGGGTGTGCCCAGCAGGAAGCCGGAACAGAAGCAGAACAGCCTGGACTCAGTGGCAGCTTGTTTTCACAGTGGCACAAGGCTCGCCCACTTAGGTTTCTTAAAGTTTTATTTACTTGGAGTCATAGAGATAGAGTGAGAGGGAGGAGAAAAAAAGAGGAGAGAGGTTCAGAGAGAACTCCCACCATCTGGTTCATGTCCCGAAAGCCTGCCATGGGCGGCTGCGTCAGAAAATGGAAGGCCAGGAACTGAATGTAAGCCCTAGTTAGCAGGAACCCAATGAGTTGAGTTTTCACCACTACTTCCCAGGGGTTGCATTAGGAAGAAGCTGGAATCAGGCACCAAAGCCAGGTATCATAAAGAAATGGACACTGCAATGTTTGAGAAACATCCACCCCTAAAAATTATTGAAAAACAAACTGACAAAAGCAGGTTTTATAAATGAGCAAGGACTTGGGTGGAGGGAGTGGAGGGGGCGGGCTTCCAGGTTGGCTTCTTTAATAAAGCATTGTTACTAAAATTAGTACTATTGCCTTATGATAATAACAGATTCTACAGACAGATTTAAAATTTCTAACTCTTTCTCAAAAGTAAACTTTTAACATATTTAATAGCACTATAAATATTAAAACTAAGTTTTTTCTCTCTCTGTACACTCAAGGAAATTAAGCTAAATGCATCTGAATGTTCTGTAACTAAAACTTGCTTAAATCAAAAATGAAATGCTAAATATTTATCATATTCTCTAAGATTATTTTATGCCTATGTGATAGAAAATGCAGATAATTATAAAGTAAGAGAAAGCATATCATTACAAAAATTAAAAGAAAAAAAAGCAAAGGAAGACAAGAGGGAAGTAAGAAGTGTGGGAAGTACCAACTCCTAAAATTGCATAAGTGAAATACAGGAGATCTGTTTAATACATACATAAAAAAAGAAACCCAAAAAAATTTTTCTCATTTCCGTAAAACAACTATGAAGAGTACCCGTAAGGTTGCTTATGCAGTCTGCACTGTACATACTACTATTACAGCTTTAGTATTCTTTAGCGTACATGTAACAACAACAAAAATCTTTCATAACCTAGTGGACACGCTCTGAGGCATTAGCAATGATCCCACCTTCTGAATTACAAAGTCCCCAGAAAGTCAAGCAACACAGTTAGCAGGTTCATTATTACTGTGAGCAAACATGAACCAAGTAAACACGTCATCTTTTCTCCCCAAGATCAAAAAGAACATGAATGATTCCCATAAAACAGAATCCACCATCAATGCAAGCTTCCATCCTTTCTTAGTCCCTTTATAAACAACTCAAACCCATTTTTGCAGTGCTGAACAACATCCCATTGAGATCATGTGAAAGATGGTTGCGCTTACCCGTGGTGATGTCATCGTCCACAAGGTCATGCTCTTCCTCTTGGACCTTGGCTTCAGGGCCTGAGGTGTCAGGGGCAGCAGGGAGTGTCTGCATGGCTTCTGCTGTGACCCCAGCTGTGACAAACAGAAATCATAAAGCTGTGATGAGAACCATGCAACCAGAGGTGCACCAAGACACTTGGGGATTTTTAGTTTATTTATAGGGTGCAAATACATCACACACAAAAACACAGTAAGTCCAAGCAGTGAAAAAGATATGAAGTGCTTCATATGTTCACATGTGTTACTACACATGAGTATAGTCTATATTTGCTTTTACCCTACCTCTTGGAAAAACAAATGCTTAAATTAACAGCATTTTTACTTGATCCCTTTTGATGTAGTCACTAATTGCTTTAGTTCAACTGGACATAAAGGGCTACAAAGTGGGGAGTCCTAGCAAGCGAATGACTATTTTAAAAACTTTTTAAAAACTTTAACCCTGGGCTGTTTACAAACTGAGGAATGAAAGGATGATGACAAAAGGTGGATTTTAGCCCTGGCTCTAAGGTTGAAATCTGAAACACATTGCTCAGAGAATACATGTCCTTGCACAAAAGAATTAGGCAGGAGATGAGAAAATTATCACAGTGAAAGGAACTGACAGGAGCAAGCAGGCAAATGGATCAGGGCAAGAGGGACAGGCAAAAGCTTCCATGCTAAAGCACCTGCGAACCTGTTAATTCATACAAATGTCTTTTCCTTGCTCATCCGTCTTTCTACTTTTGATCTATTTTGTTGTCAATTTGCATCTACCACATTATTTCTAATTTAGTTTTGGAGAACAGAGTATATCAATAATTTTGATATGATTATCAACAGGATTGCTCTCTCACAGTAGACAAAATTCTCACCACTAGAAATTTGTTTTAAAGTTGCATGTCTAAACAAATATAAATACATTAGAAACTGCCTATATTGGATCTATTCAAATATTTTAAAATATAAAAACTTGAATTATTCAAAGACTTATTTTCTTCCAATATACATTGACCTACTTCAATCTTACTATTTTGGGTTCACCAAAGCCATCAATAGAAGAACATATTTAGCCATTGTGAATGACCCATTCCCATGCTAAGTCTACCTTACTACCAGTAAACAGTTCCAAGCTCTAATGATTTGAATTTAGAGAATACAACATAATAATTTATTCAGAATTGCTTGGCTCAGCTCCGGCTCTTGCAGTCACTTGGGGAGAAAACCAATGCACTGGAAGATCTTTTTGTCTCTCCTAAAATCATCATAAAAAGGAAGATACAAGCTAAATCCCAATCCCTAAATCGATACTAATCAAATATATACTCAAAGGTCATTATTAATTTGTTGTTTGTTTTTAAAGACTTTTTTGATTCATTTATTTCTTTGTTTATTTTGAAAGGCGGTAACAGAGAGAGAAGAGGCACCGGACAGACATCCACTAGGTCACTACCCAAATGCACACAACACCCAGTGCCGAGCCACGTGGAAGACTAGGAGCTGGGAACTCCATCCAGGTACCCAGCCTGGGTGGCAGAGGCCTTATCATTTGGGCCCCTTAGGCTTCTTTCTCACCTCACATTAGCAGGCAACTGGATAAGAAGTGGAGCAGCCAGAAATTACAAAGGCTTCCTGAAGGGATGCTGGTGCTGCAGGCAGTAGCTTGACCTGCGGCACCACAAACATCAACACCGAGTATCATCATTTCTTAGCAGCAAATCAAAATATGAACCTTTGAAATCTCTCACCCCTGGCTTTACATTTGATAATACTGGAACTGAACAGAAGAGACAGGTGTTTGTTGAGTCAAGAAAGTTACCACTCGGGATGTGCCATCCTCTGTCAGTCACTGAGCTCAAGTCATGCAATTCCACTACCAGTTCCAGCTTTCTCTTAAGGTACACTGTTGGGGGGCAGTGGGAGGTGGCTGTCAAATACGGAGACCTGTGCTGATTTCCCAGAGCCTGTCTTCAGCCTGGTTCAGTTCAAGCTATTGGAGGCATTTGGAGGTGGGAGATCTGTCCATCTCTCCTACTTTTTAGGTAAAAAAAAATGAATGAAGTAAGTTTTTAAAAGACCAGAGAAACAAAGATAGAAAAAAAGTTTGATAGTAATAATATTATTACTATTTTCTTTTCTGTAAAATTAAGAGATTCAATGAATATAAAGCTGTGGCTCACACTGGGACAAGTTCACACATCCACATGCATTAATTAACTTAATAAGAAAGGCTACAGTAACTGTTCAACTAGCAGATAACAGATTCAGGAACCAGGATGAAGATGCATATCTTGGGTGTTCAAACTCCCACTATCTTCTGCCTCTTTTCAAGGCACTGAGTTCCTGGGGGCAGATGGGAGTTATCAGAGAACATCACAGAAAACTGGGAATTTCTGGAGTCAGCACTGTGAAGCCCTCCCTGAAGCACCTCTGTTGTGCTGAGAGATGTTTTGACTCAGTGCACAAAGTGGCTCAGGACTGAGCTTAAGCAACACGTACATATATTTCAAAGCATCTAAGGTTAGAACAAGATATGCTGAAACTGGTTTTTTCATGACATCCTCTAAAATAAAGGTTATGAAATCCTGGGCAGAAAAAAGAAAACTTAGAAAACTTCAGATCAATATGTCTCCTACGTATAATGTCAAAAATCCTTAACAAAACATAAACAACTAGAATACAACAATATATACATATATATATATATATGAAAATTGTATATATGTGATCATACCAAGCATTTGAAAAATTAAATGTCCATTCATGATTCATACTTCCACTCTTATAATAAATAGCACTGCAAGTTTTAACCTATTCAACAAAGCAGCAATAACAAAAAAAAAGGAGGATAGTACATATAGTTTGGAAAGAATAATGTGATTTGTTCCTATATGACTGGCTAATTTTAGGTGTGTGAGAGAGACAGATTGATTTCCATAGGAAACTCGAATGGGAGGCCGTGGAAGATCTACCAGAAAATAAGGATACCGACCATCAGCGGGGAGTCCAGGTAGAACAAAAAGTCAAAGAAAAGATGAATTTGTCTTTTCTCTCTCTCCCTCTCTCTTTCTCTCTCTTCCTCTCTAGGAATCCTTTTGTTCTCTGCCCTCGGATACCAGTGTTTTGGGTTCTTAAGGCTTCGGACTTTGGACGTGCCCTGCAGCCCTGTGTGTTCCCAGGCCTTCTACCTGTGCAATTAGGCCATCAGCATCTCTTTTTCTGAGACTTTGAGACATGGACTGAGTCTTGCTCCTCGCATCCCTAGCTCTCTACCTCACAGATGGTATGGCAGTGAACTTCTCAGCCCCCATGATGGGGTGAGCCGGTTCTGCCAAAACATTCCCTCTCACCTCTGCCCTAAGTGAAATATTTAGATGTAAAAGCAAAAGTCCACAAGACTTGTATTCCAAAAACTAAGGTCACTAACGAAAGTAACCAAAAAAGGCAGAAACAAATGAGATGAAGAGAAATATCACCATCAACATGGTAAAGAAGTCCATTTCCCGTGAAATGATACACAGGTTAAAGGCAATTTGTTCTGTAAATACATTCGAAGTTATCCTAAAATCATATGCAAAGACAGAAACTGTCATAAAACAATTTTGAAAAAGAATGAAGATTTTTAAAAAAGGATCAGCTTACCCCATTTTAAAGCAAAGTCAGTAAATCACATGGGATTGGCAGAGACTAACGTAACAAAAGAGAAAAACCCAAAAATGGACTTATAGGTGCAAAAAATGCTTCATGAGGAAACTTAGCAAAGGCTGGTCACCGTTAGGATACTAAAGAACCTTGATCTAATGTTCCACATTACATAAAAAATCCACTCAAAATGGATCATGGACTAAGCTGTAAAACATAAAATCATAAAACTTACAGAAAATAAGGTTAGAAGAAAATCTTTGAAATCAAGTTTAGACTGATGCCAAGACACAGTTTCATAAAAGGAAAAATCTGTGCAGTGAACATCATTAAAACACCTTATGAAGGGGAGGGAGAGACATACAACACACTGGGAGGAAACGTTCACAAACCACATGCCTGGCAATGGAGCAGAAGGCCAGCTCTACATGGAGCTCTCACAACTCAACAGTAAACAACTGGGTAGTTAAACACACTAAACAGTTATGTAGTCATCCTAGGTAGTTACCAGTTACCACAAACTGCACAAGAGTGTTCACAGCAGAAACAGTCATAAAAGCTCAGGAATGACATGATTTGACTGTGTCACCTGAGGAATAGATAAACTATAACATACTGATACAACATCCTACGTCAATACAACGAAATAAAATTCTAATATATGCTGCAAGATTGAAGATGTTATGCTATACAAAAGAAGCCAGTGACAAAAGACAATATAGCATTGTATGCTTCCATTTGTATGAAATTTCAACAACAGACAAATCTGTCTGGACAGAAAGCAGAGGGGCAGGTTTGCTGAGGGCTAAGAGGAATGGGAAGCGTGGAATGGGATGATGCTAATGAGTATCAAGAAATGACTGTGGGAAATGAAATGTTCCAGCATTGATTGTGGAGATGGTTGTAAAACTTTGTGAATATGCTTTAAGGCAAAGAACAGTATCCTTTCAAGAGTGAATAAACTGGTAAGATAATCACTTTTCAATAAAGCTACTTCAAAGAAGTACTGGTTTCCTAATATTTCAGATCAACTGCCGCATCCTTGTAACCTCTGTGTACCCTTTTGGTACCGCTTCAGTCACATACCCAGAAACAAAACAGGTGAAGGAGGCACAGGGAACATGCGTGCAGAAAGCAACAGAATTCCCAATGGGAATGTCTTGTATTAGGAAGGCAGGATGTTCTATTTTTAATTTTTAAAAAGTTAAACTACACTCTTAATTTCAATCTACAATCATAACTACTCAGAAATCTGAGTGAATATATATTCATAACTAATATTTTGAGACATGAGCAAATATCCTGACTCCCATTAAGAACGATGTTGTGATGGTAACAAACTACCTCAGAATCTTTTTTCAGGAAAATGATAAAAAGGGAGAAATATTGAAAATGAGAGAGATCAAATTGGCATGTCCTAGTTCAAGTGCTCTAGTTCATTTACAACAATCTTA